AAAACAAAATTTCAGTTCTGAAACTAGGGCTCAAGGTATTCATGTTGAAGAAAGTCCACATTATATAGACAACTTAAATAACAACTAGACATACGATTATTTTAATAGCAACAGAAGTTGTTACAATGACAACAAGTTTTGCATAACACAACATCACAGAGTTCCATGTAGCTATATGGAACCTCATTCCAACATCATATCAACCTCTTAATAAGCCCCTTCTAAACCATACATGCATATGATACCACCGTATCCTTATCCCTCTCTTCATGGATACCTTCCATTTCTGGTTTCATTACATCAATACATTATACGAAGTGATAAAATCAGCTTCTTTTGGGCCTTGGTTCCCTAATCTCTTGGAACTAGTCAAAAGGTAGAAATTGGCAAGATACAAATAATTCATAAAAGAGGACATAAACCTTTTGCAGAAACTTGTACATACTTAAGCAAGGTGACGGGATTATCAAAACAAAAGACAACCAGGAATCCATTCGTATCCCCAAAAGCTGAAAAAACAAATCCAGCACAAAAAAGAGCAAAAACAACACGCACACACACAATTGAAAGCCCATCCCAGCCTACCCCACGAATCCGAAATCCTCATAAAAGGGCCGCAACTGTGGAAGACAAATAATCGAAAAGGGCAAGAATCAGAAAAGAATTAGCCCGTCATTAAATCCACAAAACATAGAAATCAATGGACACGAGATAGGTCATGAATCCGAAATCACGTTTCCATCCTTCTCCGCATAGATAAATTTGGGATGTTGGGAAGAGAAGCTCACCTTCCAGCTGATGTAGACGGAGTACTCGAACTTAACCACAGCGTAGCGAAGCCAAGTCGAAAGGGCAACCATTACAGCTTCGCAAACTTTCCCACTAACCTATGTTCTGCCTTCTGCTCAAAATCATTCGCTTCCTCTCTCCGCTTAGCGTAAACCCTGCTCGACTCACTGTCCTGATCCAATCAATTCAGTTTCGCGATTAAAGATGAAGAAAGAGGCAAGATAACTTCACATCCGATAAATCAATTTCATTTTGAAAAAATAATAATAATAATTACATTGGCAGTTTTGGGGCACTTCTATTTTTATTTTTTTATTTTCTTTTTTTTTATCTTATTTTACTTATATTTTAATTTAAATTGAATTATATTTAATTATTTTTAAAAATACTCATAATATTTTTAGATTTTTTAAATATATTAAAAATATTATTTTAGAAATAAAATTTGTATCAATTAAGCATGTTGTTAAAAATATAAAAATTAAAAAAAATAATTCAACTCTAAATGGATGTTCCTTATTAAATTTATGAAGTATTTGGTAGGAGCCGCTAGGGGTGTAAAAAATTAACCCAACACCCTAACTCGACTCGAAAAATCTAGGTTAAGGTTCTGGTCAAAGAATTCGACTCGTTTATTAATCGGGTTATGTTTGAGTTGAACTCGAAAACTCAAACATGACCCGAATAAGCACAAAAGTTCGGATCAGGTTCAAGTTAGCAGGTCAAGCTCGGATTCATGTCTTAGTTTTTGACTCGTTTATTATTCGGGTCAGGCTCGGGTAAACCCTATTCCGGTTGGGTTATTTCAGGTCGGACCCCAGCCCAACCCACCGACCCAAACTGACACATAAGAGCTGTAGATTTATGTTAAACATGATTTATCAAATCCACCGAAAGAGGGGCGAAAAAGATTTAATGGAAAGTTAGATTTAGTTTTTCATTTATGCTTGGGTGGATATATGTTAAGTTAATGGTTAAATCTTATTAAAAGTGCGCTACCAAACTACCAAACACCGCATAAATACATTTTTAGAAAGATTTACATACATTTAATGGAAATTAATTTTTTTCCACTGTCAAATTCATGTAATTATTCATGTCACCATAAAATAATTTGAAATTGGACAAAAATAAAAAAATATTTGTTAACTCTTTATTCAAATTTAGATAATTCAAGTTTGGTCATCTGTTGGTTTGCTTCCCCATCTGAGCTTATATCACCTTTTGTGGTCGAAGCAGATTCGATGGTTTTTGGCTTAATGCTTGCTAAACATTATAGATGAAAATTTATAAATATTGAAACAGATTCTTTATTGCTCTGGATGAATTACAAGTGGAGGGAAACACATCATTGGAGTTTTCCAACTAAAGAATACTATGGAGTTAACTAAGGAGTTGAATGTGCTATGGGCACATACAAAAAGAGAAGGTAACAAGGTGGTGGATTGGGCAGCTAATTCGAGAAGTTATCTCCGGACTACTGCCATTTCTTAGGAGGTTCCTTCAGTTTTTATGTCTTTAGTTTGTGCTGACTTACTCTAAACTTCATTTTATTTTTGGTCCTTCTTGTGTTTTTAGGTTAATGGGTAGTGTGAGTTGTATTTTGTTTTTTTTAAGGAGAAGAACCTTTAGGTTTTCTTTTCTTGTGTGAGTTGTATGGGTGTGTAGATTGGTTCTTCTTGCCTCTTTTTGTACTTTTTTTTATGGAATAAAACTCACCCCATGAATAAAGGGGTTTTACTAAAAAAAAATGAATAATATATTACCGTAAGGGATAAAAATATTACCTTAAAATAAATCTAATTATCCAAATGATGAAAATCTCCATGATTTATTGGTCTACGAAACTAGGGCCTTTGTCCTACCTTACGGATGTAAGTTAAGGTATATTTTTTTATGAAGTTTGAAAATTTTTATGAGGGTGAGCCTCTATAGTTAATTACATCTCAAAAGTTGTGACTCCCAAGATTACTCTAGATTAAAGTCTTGGCTTATCTTGTGCATGATTTTCATTAAGTGTCTGCGAGATTGTAACATCAAGGACTTCGATTAATAAATTCAAAGTTTTGAAAAAAACTGAATGGAATTAGAAGATTTGGACAAGTTTTATTTTGATTGATTTACTTGAGTTAAAGACTTGAGTTAGTTAGGTTTATTGTTATTTGAAAATTTGTTTTAAGTTGATTTATTTTTAACTAATTGGATTTTTTTAAAAGTTATGGAAGTTGTTGGGGGTGTATTTAAAGCATTTTTTAAGTTTGTTAGAGAATAATTCTTAGTTATTTAAGGTTTATTTATTATTTATATCTTTTTTGAAAGTTTGTTTGAAACTAATTTAATTTAGTAATGTTTGAATTTTTTTCATTTTTTATTTTGTTTGTTCACTTATTTAAAGTTCATTCAGGTTATTTGAAGTTTATTTTTGATATTAATTAAAATTATTGGTTTGTTTTAAGGTTACTTAAAATTTATTTTAAGTTTATTAAGGCTCATTTAAGAATTATTGGGTTTATGTTAAATTTATTTTAAAGGTTGTTTTTGTTTGATTAAAGTTTAAGATTTGTTAATGTTTATTAAATTTGGTTAAGATTTGTTTAAGTTTTAAGTGTTGATTAAGGATTATTTAAAGTTGGTTAAAATTTGTTAAAACTTATTATGCTTTATTAAAGCTTTTTAAAATTGATTGAAATTTGATTAAAGTTTATTTAAAATTAATTAAAGTTAATTATATTTCATTGAAATTGATTAAATTCGGTTGAAATTCATATAAGGTTTGTTTAAATTTAGATTTTTAAAATTTGGAAGTTGATGCTTTAGGATTTTGAAATTCTAGGGTTGGACTTGAAGTTTAGGGATGGAAAGTGCATATTTGATATAAAGTTTGGATGTTGAGTGTTGAGTTTTAAGGTAAGGATTGAAAGACTCCGTCGATGGGTAGGATTTGAAGGTTATCATTTGAACATGGAGTTGAAGTTTTGATTTGAGGTTTGGATATGACCCTAAATTAATGGAATGATGATATGGAGGGATTTCTAGATGGCTTTGAAGCCTTAAACCTAGAATAAACTACACTAACAGGGAAGCTAAATTAGTGTACTAACACAATTTTTTAGAATAACACCCCCGGTCAAGATGTACATGGTTTTCCATTTTCTCAAGTGTATTAGGATCTTTAGACTATTAACTAACTAGATAGTGGAATGTCTTTGTTGTTATCATGGCCAATGTAGACATTCCTACTATTAGGTGGTTTGGGGTACCTTTATCTGTAATTATGTGTTATCTAATCATAGGGTACTCACAAAATTTAAGGGGGCAATAATATTTATTTTATATGTTGTAGTCCTTAGTACTAATTATTGGGTACCTTGTAAACTATCACATGCTTCTAAATTGGACTACTCTAGGGTGTATGTGATCCATGGTATTATTTCTACGTTGCTAACCTATGATTATCAAGGTTAATTTACCTAGCTTTGGTTTACATATTTTGGAGTTAGTAAATTTTAATTTATTTTTGTATTTGATATTTAATTCATCACTTATTTCAGCTCCTAATTTTATGATCTTGGTAAGAATCAGGGTTCTTCTAATTTTTTAGTTTGTTTTCCCAATTTGTTAATCATTTAAAAAAATCTGGGTTCCTCTAAGTTTAAATATTATTCTCTCTTCTAATTTGTCAGTTGGTGTGATGATCAAAATTCTCCTATGTTCAATTTAGTTTATTACCCTTAGTTGATGTTCTTCATTTGATTCTTTCTCCTAGATTCGACCTATAGTGTTTGGTTTACTATTCTATACTTAGGTTTTATATGCCCATGAGAGTTTCATTAAAACATTTCTCTTTTACACTCCTCATATCTAAGACTGATTTACATGCTCACTAAACACATTTTCTTTTACACATGAAAAAAAAATTATAAAGGATTTAGTTATGCAAAGAGTGTTAGCAGTGTGAACTTACTTGCATAAGAAATATATATGCATGAAATGACCAAAGATTTATATGCTTCAAAGCTAAGGTTATGAATAAAGTGTTCCTTCATTCAGGAAACTATACATATGAACATATAAGTTTTGTTTAGATTGTGCTATTCAAGAAGGTTTGCAAAACTTATATAATCTAAAAAAAATTATGAATGGGATTTCTTCAGGTTAATTTGATTTTATTTTTGAAAGTTTTAGATTTCTTTCTAAGAATTTAGTAACAATTTTAGGTTTGTTTCCTAAAGGTATTAGGTTCAGTGAAAATTTTTACTAGTTTAAAATTATTAACAGTTTACATTTAGTGAAACGATTTTATTTTATAACTATTTAGGTTTTAAAATTGTTTAATTATATATATGTTTTGGATTTCATTTCGAAAGTGTTGATGAGTTTTTTAGTTGCAAAAGAGGTTTGTTTGAAGTTTTATTTTGTTTATTTTTATATTTAAAAAAGGTTTATTTTAAGTTTTAGATTTAAAGAATTTTTTTAAGTTTTATTTTTAAAAACAATGTTTGTTTTATATTTTAAAAAATGTTATTTAGTTTTATTTGAAAGAGTTTCTTTTCCTAAGTTTGATTTTAAAAAAAGTTAAGTTTTGTTTATAAAATCACCCTCGAAGTTCTTATAAAAATATTCTCTTAGACTTGAACCTTTATTAAAATTAATATTTTAGAGCACCATTAGCTTGTGTAGCAAAGGTATCTTCTGAATTTACATATTTTTAGAAGAAAAATCATTTAGAACACATTTAATTGGTGTATTTCGTAAGAAGTCGTTCTTTGAGAGTATAAGGATATTATTTTTAGAGCACTTTTAATTTACATATATTTTTATAAAAAAATATCATTTTCGACATTCCTATTGCATATGGTTAATCAAATTCTCTCTCTTTTTTAGTCCAAGAAATTAAAGTCTCTTAAATATATAAGCATTCTCGATACATTTTCTTGTTACCTCGAGTCATAACCAACATGAATATGAATAAGCACATACATTCAACTTGCACAAGTCTTAAAACATGTAAACATTCAACTTGCATAGACCTTAAAACGTGCAAATATCCAACCTGCATATGCTTAAAACATGTAAACATCCAATCTGTATAGGCCTTAAAACATGTAAACATTCAAATTGCATAAATTTTAATACATGTAATCATCCAACTTGCATGGCAA